AGTTCATTCTGTTTTCCCTAATGCTTTTGGTTTTTCTAAATAATTATAGTAATAATGGTAATAATATATTTTGTGTAATTAGCAAATGTTGTCACCTCCCTAGCATCTCATTTTGCAGGTTTTCTGTAAATTCCCTGACCAGCCTCAGGCCCCAGCTGAGATGTCTGTGAGACTCTACATTTAACCTCCTCAGTTGTGAAAATAGAGTGTTTATTCTTACTGTTTCCTGTTCTGGTTACTGATCCTGGGAAGAAGCTGCTGGTTTTTCTTAAGACCCCTTAGTAGATATTCTGGTGTCCTTTATAAAATTAATCCCCTGCCTCAGAGGTTAGCTGGCCAGTATTCTGTGGAGCCTCTACTCCAGATGTCCTTGCATCTTCCATCTGGTGCCCAAAACACAGAGTGATGCCAAGAGTTCTTCAGTTCTTTCTTCTCTTCTGAAGACTCCTTTGACTTTTTCAGGAAAAACTATTGTCCCCATCCCACTGACATGTGGCATTAATAGCCAGGAATTCTCATTCTGGAAGAGCTGTATGTAGAGTTTTTCAGTTTCAACTTATCATATTCAAGTCCAGCATGGCTTCTAAGTAGTTTTATTTGTTGTCAAAAATGAGGTGCAATGCAAGAATGTACTTTTAAGTTGGTTAAAGAAAGTCCATTCACCAAATATTCACCACATTTTCTAATACCTCTATTACAGGTAAAGAAGTAAACAAGGGCTGTGATGAGCTTGTAAGTTGTGTGTTGTTTTGTTTTGTATTTTAAAAGTTATATTCTAAATAGTCTGCAGAAGCAGAATATACATATGGGCAATGCTCTGGTTCTCTTGTTTCTGCATGCCAGGGCCAGGCAGTGTAGGGTGGCCCTGAATTCTCACCTAGAACCATCCAAGTTGAGAGAAATCTTCCTGTCAATTTGAGCAGACTTGGAATGAAGTCCTGCTGCAGGACGTGAGGGCCCTGCTGGCTTCAGTTAAATGTGCCCTCTCCTAGTCTGAGCTGAGCTGGCAAACGGTTTCTTCAGTGTGAGAGTGTGTATGAGGTCAATATTGCTGAATATGTCAGTAGTTTTCTAGGTGCTGTACGTGTCATAAATGATGCAGTTAAGCTTCTTTGGAACATTTTTGCTTAATGAGAGCTCAGGGTAGGTTTGTTTTCAGTACAGGTAAGTGTCTGAAGATTGAGGGAATTAGTGAGGGTGCACTGTCCAAATTCCCCAGAAGAAAATCCCATCGTCTCTGCTAGCATTTCATTCTTGCTAATGACATTCCTAGGCCGTCCTCTAAAAATGAAGCACAGAGGATGTTCTGGGAAGCAGTATTTCTTGTTTAAACCTGTTGAGCATAGTTCTCTGGATGGCTTCTCAGTGCTTCTCTTCTGTTTGAATAAGGAATCTTTTACTCCTGAATCTTTGTTGTTGTTGTTTTCATGGTGTACGCATGAACAATTTTGTGAAAGATAAATGTGTATTATCTCTGGATCTCTGGATCAACACCAAGTTGGTGATGTGTTGAAGGTCAAGAGAAGAGAGGAAGTGTCAAAAAGTTCTGCAGTGGAAGAGCCCATGAAGAGGAGAAGAGTGGAGGTGGGGGCAGAGACCTCATGCCCACAGTCAAGTATGGGCAGGTCAGTTGACTACAAAATAATCTTTGGGGCGCATGTCAATATGTTTAATGTCTCTTGTACCTTCCTCAGATTTCCATCCTGTGTAATCCTTTGCCCCGTTTGTCCTCTTTCTTAATGGTCCTCCTCTGTAGGTGACAGAGTGTAAACAGTATTGCCCATGTTTGGAGAAGAAGATGTTCTATGCTTTCAGGTTCCTGTACCATTAACTGTGGGTCTTCCTGTTTATCTTCTCCGTATTAACATCAGCTGTAGAACAGCAGTGGGATGAGAACTCAGTAACTGGAATGAGAAGTGCCTTAGTTTGCACACCTGAGCCAGGGGTGACAAGGAAAGAAGTGGGAAGTTTTCCAGCTGCATTCTAGCCTGTTTCTCTCGGGTCAGCTGATGAATACCACCTCTCAGCTTGAGGCTGAAATCTGTCTCTGTGGGTTTCACAGAATCACTGAGGTTGGACAGGACCTTTGATATAATTGAGTCCCACCCCTCTGCTTGAGGCTTGAGCAGGGTCCCAGAGCAGGTTGCCCAGGATGTGTCCCTTCAGGTTTTGAGTAGGCTCCAAGGGTGGAGACCTCACAGCTTCTGTGGTTGCAGTGCTTGACCACAGTTGCAGTCAAAAAGTGTTTTCTTGTGTTCAGATTTCCTATCATGTTATGCAGTTTGTGCCCTGTTCCTCTTGTCCTGCCAGCAGGTGCTACTGACGAGAGCCTGGCTCACTCTTCTTCATTCCCTCCGATCAGGTGTACACTGATAGGATGCCCCCTGAGCCTTCTTCAGGCAGAACAGTCCCAGCTCTCCAAGCCTCTCCATGTATGAAAAGTGCTCCAGTTCCTTCATCATCTTTGTGGCCCTTTGCTGGCCTCAGCCCAGTGAGCTGCAGTCTTGGCTTAAGCAGCAAAGGGCAGAGGGGAAGGACCCATCTCCCTTGAGCTGTTGGCAGAACTCTGCCCAGCACAGCTCAGGGTGGTGCTGGCCACCCTCAGCACCAGGGTGCACCCTGGCTCATGGGGTCTCACCTCAAGCTTCATATTTGACTGCTGTTCAGAGGCAGGCCCATCATTAGTCATAGTCTAGCAGGCTGCTTTAGTTCAGGGAGTGTAGCTTCTGAAAAAAAGAAAATATGTGTCTGTATTTGACATTCAGAAGTAGGTGGCAGGGAGTCCCAGAGCCAGTGTTGTCATCAGAAGTGTTTCTGCTCCCTTCCACAGGGGTGTACAGACTGTGGCAAATCATCTCCCTTCTCGCCTTATATTCTGCCCAATTCCCAAATGTATTTCATGCAGAGATTGTCACAGGAGATGTCTGATGCCCTTTCATGTCCCTCCCCCACATTAGTTTATGGTCACAACAGAGATGCAGGAAATGAGTGAAGGAGACTGGGATCCAGAATGCTCTCTGATCTCTTTCAGCCAAGATGTGAATTGTAGATTAATCAAATACAAGTCCAGAAAGGGCTCTTTTCTGATCCAGTCTGGCAGTTCTCTCTTAGTTCTGTGTCTTGCCCCAGAAGTTATGCTCTCGCAGAAAAGACTGAAGCAGTATGCAGTTTTAAGGTGTATTCTTGATTTCAATAGTAACTTGTTGAGGCATCAACTTCAAGCCTTCTGTTATGTGTTTCCAATTAGTTTGTTAGAATGAAGAGCTCATTCAGTCTGAGCACTCCCCCTGCCCCAGGAAAGAGTTTGCTCCTGTCATCAGAGCACCTCAGGATCCTTTTTTTTTTCTTTTTCTTTTTTTTTTTTTTTTTTTTCTTTTTGGGCAAGCACTTTTGCTCCTAATTCCTCATGGGGGTTTTGGATTTGAGTTTTCCTGGGGTGCTGCTGTTGAGTGTTGAGCCCTCAGAATCCCCAGTGATACTGAACAGCTCAAAGAGCACTATTTCATGTGTGAAGCCAGGCTTGGTTTTCCCCTCATGCATCACTTTCTACCTCTCTATACAGAGTTTCCTCTGCCATTTTATTGCTCCATGACCGAGTCTTGTAAGATCTTTCTGTTGTTCTTTGATACCTGTCGTTCTCTTTGTGTCAGTAATCTTGTAGGATTTGCAGGCTTTCTCAACTCACTGCTCATTCCCCTTTCCATGTGATGTCACACTTTTTTTCTCTTTAACCACTTGTTGGTTTTACTAGAGGAGCAGAAAGAAATTCTTCCTAATGTTTAGATCAGACAGTAGGAGGAAATCCTTCCCTTTGAGGGTGGTAAGACCCTGGCCCAGGTTGTCCAGGGAAGCTGTGGAAGCCCTATTACTGGAAATGTCCAAGGGCAGGTTGGATGGGGCTTGGAGCAGCCTGTTCTAGTGGGAGGTGTCCCTGCCCATGGCAGGGGGGTTCGAACTGGATGATCCCTAAGGTCCCTTCAAAACCAAACCAGTCTAAAGCATAATACTGAAATGAGTGCATGTTTTCATTTTTTAAATAATACTTTGAAATGTGAGTACATCTGTCTGTGTTGTAGGTACTAGAATCCTGGTTTCTAATGGAATACTTGGAGTGGGCATTTACAAGATTGCTTCCTTTTTGTGACTTTTTGTAAACTCAGTTCTTACTTCTTTGACTTTTAGAACTGGAGCAGATGATGTTCACCGCATGAGTAAAGCAAAGCATGGATTTGAAACGGTAAGCTACAGAGTAATCAGAAAGTGACAGCAGCTTCTGGTTAGTCCTAGATTCTTAAAGCAGCAAACATAGAAATGCCTTTGGGTAATTTATTTTCCCTTTTCACCTCCATCACCTGCATGGAGACATTGC